AAAAATGACCAGAGTACCTCTTAATCTCCCCCATTAGTACTACAATTTATCTGTTTTTACATTTTTGATACTTGATATTTAAAGGGAGACATTTGACTCGTGGAAATTTATCAAAAGATTATTTAATATGAAAAAAATTATATAAAATTGCAACCTTAAAAGGTAGAATTAAAGTGCACCTAAAAAATCCATTGAAAAAGGCTGGCTTAATATTAAAAACCCTCTAATTGATCATCTCGATATCTCATCGAGACGTATAAGAAAAAAAAAGGTTCCGAAATCCAAAATAATACATCTTGCGACACATTAGTTGGATCATTCATTTTCAAAATTTTCATACATTTATAAATCTATTTGATTAGAATCATTTTTTGAGTTTAAAAGTTTATAACTAAACATGAAAATGGATTTTCAGGCCATCCTAAGAATTTTTTATGCCAATATTACATATTATGATAAAACTTGGAGGTGCACCTTAATGTAATTGTTTAAGGTTAAAACCTTATGCAAACCACATCCATTTAATATTAGGTGTCCAATCTAGTATTATGTTTAAAAGTAAAGCCACACCTTAAATCCCTATTGGAAACTGTAGTTTCAAAGCCGATAACTCTAGTAATAGTATGGAAAACTATTTTCTCTTCTTATTATAGAAATTGAAATACTAAAATGATGCATATTTGGCAAGCTTGTAAACATTTGAAGTGGATCGTCCAAATAAAATGTTATAAAATACATTATTTTTAAGATTTGGAATTTATTTTTTGAGGTTGATAATTGTCGAGGTAGAGATGATTAATTTGAAGTGTTTTCACATTTTGAGTGCATTCTGATTGTAAAACCTTGGCCTTGTATAAATAATTTCATTTAAATTTTATCTTTATTATTGTTGCCTTAATATCAAAACATATCAAGGTACGCATCATATCATGTATTGGTGGAGGGGAAACTTCCAATTTTTGCCCCACAATAAAAAATAACCAGGTTCTTAAGAAAATGCTTGTCAAGTATTGGTACGTTCAGATACACTCTTTTAGGGTGTATTCTACATTCGGGGTACTCTTTATTCTAATGATATGACCCATGCACATGCAAGTGATTTATAAGTTGGGCGAACCTTGACCATCCATTTTGGTCCCTAGTCTAGATCTCTGGTTTCTGAGTAGTCCTAGCATTGAAGCATTTTGTAGAGCCCTTCTTGGTTAATTTGGAATAATTAAATATATTATAAGTTTGGGATTCATGTTTTGACAATATTTTACATTAGCTGCCTACCTAACACAACCCAGTTGCTTTACTTAGACATGGGACGAGAAAGTTTAAAATCCCCAACCTTACAAATGGCAATATAATATCTTTTCGTTGGATCATTCATTTTAATTCCACAAAAATCATTACATTTATATAATTTTTTAGCTCCAAATTCAAGGACATGAAACAAAAATGAACCAATGATTTAAGATTTATGTTGGGCCCTAAAACCCTTGAAAGCCAGGGTGAATGAGTCGACAAACTCACCAAAAACTTTTCATCAACAAAATTCGAAGTAAGTTTTTTTTTATAATAACTTAAAAATGTAAAATGGCCAAAATGCCCCAAACATTTGGGGTACTTTGACCAATTTATTTTTTTGAATTAAGAATTTCTATACTTTTTATAGGTATATATGGGTTAAAAGTATAGATAGCCAACACTTTAACTCAATAAAATGTTTTGGAAAAAATACAATTTTAGCATTAATGTATGCTCCCAAAACTGAGTTGTTTTCGGATATCCAAATTTGATATATTCCAGGTTTATCAATCATAGATTCCCGTAATCCTTTGAAATTCCAGACAGATTATCAAATACAATACTTATCAGATCTAAATATAATAGCTTTCATTTCACCTTGGCTCCCAATATCTATCACAAAGGATCATATTGAGGAGCATTTTGACTCTCTAAAAGAAAAAGAGGGGCACTCTAATTACTTTCACATGAGGTTTTTTTTTTTCTTAATCTATTTTTTACCAATATATATTTTAGAAATAAGGTGGACCTTAAAATTTCAGTAGAAAAAATTGTTATGGAGTTGGAAAACTTTCCAACTGATCATCTCGACCTCAAGATGTATATAAAAATAATAATAATTAAAGTCCTAAAATTATATATCTTTGTAAAAAGTTATCTGAATTGTCTATTTTCAAGATTTTCAAATGTTTATAAATATACCTGATTTGCACTATTTTTAAATTTTATAATTAGAGTTGAACATGAATTTTAAGTCATCATAAAGTTTTTGATATCAAAATAACATCTTCCAATGTAATTTAGAGGTGCACCTTACTTATATAATATTAGGTGGGAACCTTATACAAACCTCACTTTTTTACTAAATATTAATATACAGTTTTATTTTAAAATCAAATATAAAAAGGTTTTGTTAGGCTACACCACTTGGTGGTATATACTCTTAATGTCCTGAACGTTATTGGACACTTAGATACCCTTATCCTATAGTGTAGTAACTTTTTATCTAGGTGTATTTTAAGTAAGGGTGCAGTT